CTGCCCTTGTTTTGCAGATGCCAGTGATTTCAATTCATTCTGTGGGGTAAATGTCAGTGTCAGCATAAATAGTACTGTAGAAGAGTTTCCCATGAATTCATCATCTAATGTTGCGGTACTCTTTCAACACAAAGCTGCACACAAAATACCACCTGTTCTATGTAACTACAATAATAATACTGAATTTCTCCATAGGGATTAATAAAGTGCTGTGTATATTAATAATATACATGCCATAACAGCTAGATGAACAATCTTAAATTCAGTATTAAGTAAACTAAGAAGTACAACAGCTTAACTTTTTGCACACCATATTGTGTTGCAGACTTAATTTTAAATGGATAGAACTGCAGTTTTTGCCAATTCAGTAGTTTGCAGAAGTCCCTTTAACAGCAGTTACAGCTTTGAGTCTTCTTGAGTAAGCCTTTACCAGCTTTGTACGCTTGGATTAGTACGGTTTATCCCATTCTTCCTGACAGCTCCTCTCCAGCTCTGTCAGATTGGATGGGAAGTGTCTGTGAACTGCCACATCTCCAGTGGCATTTTCTTCTAAACAAGGCAGACGAGCCTGCCATATCTTTCCACGTACCATAGATTGTTAATCACATGAAAAAGCTTGATATGTGTCAAATGATGATGATGTGTGCAAACATCTGCCAAGCTTACCAACACTATTTCATCTCAAACCTTTCTTTTTTTCCTCTGAGCCTCTTCTGCCTTCCTCCTCCACCTCTGGCTTCTGCCTTTCATGCCTCCTGCTGTGATATACTGTCTCATTGTTAATGTTCCTTGCCGTGCCCTTCCTTTCTGGTTCAGTCCCCATTAGGGCTCATCCAGTGAGTAGCATCTAGCATCCAGCTGTAGCTAGAGGTTGACAGACTAGAAACCAGAGACAAAGCAGCTCCAGTCACAACAACACCCACCTCCTCAGCATTTTGGCATGAGTGGCCAGACAGCTTATGGGTCCAGGGTGGAGAAGTGTCTGATTTACGAGGATTTAAGGCAGACTGCTGAAATGGCACAGGGCAGTGTCAGCTGTCCAGAATACTATATGTCTTAATGGAAACATAAACTTCTTACATTTTTCAAAAGCATTTCTTCCAGGCACAGTACAGTCAGAAACCTTCAGTGTCAAATCTGGACTTTAATTCTGCTGGGGATGTGCCATACTAAAGACTATGAACCACATTCAAAGGTGTGTGTGTGATGGCAGAGAGTGAATTATTGCAGACTTGGTTTTCATTCAGTTGCCCTTCTTTTCACATCCTCTCTGCATTTCTTTTATTTGTCTGTTCCTTCTCATTTCTTTCTGAGCATTTACTCTCTCATACTGGGATTTTGGAGGTGTTGCTTGTCTTTCTTTTCCTCCCCTCCGTCTCCCATGGTTTGACTGAATGATTATTTCCTATCAGAGAGTGTGTTGGCATCTGGCCACTGTTGCCTCGCCTGTATGGGATTCATCTTGGCTCTCTCTCTTCACCCCTCCAGGTGGTGTCCATGGGTCTGTACTTGGGAGAAAAAGCCTATCTGAAGAGCAGCTGGAACATTCTCGATGGTTTCCTTGTCTTCGTCTCTCTTATTGACATTGTGGTGTCTATGGCGGGTGGAGCAAAGATCCTGGGAGTGCTCCGTGTCCTCAGGTTGCTCAGGACACTGCGGCCCCTCAGGTTAGGAAGAGAAACTTTACATGTTTAGTCTGAGCATAATTATTACTTCTTAAGAGGTGTGAATGAACTTCATACAGCTGGACTGGACAGCAGCACACAGACAAGCAAGAAGCTGTTAAACACTGTAATGAGCAGATGTACAGACTGGGGTCACAATACATTTGGAATTTATTTACAGGATGTATTCTATACACATTTCAGTCTTTATAAAATGTTTAAAATGCTTTTTTTGTTAACCATTTTGGCTTTAAAACATGTCCTCTCGAGCTGTCATCACAGTATCTGCAGATCAGCCCCTCTTTCCTTGGCTAACAACATAGAAAGAACCAGCAAGGGAGTGAAGGAAAAGCCGAGTATAAATAGGGAGTGACAAAGGAGGCGCAGCTGAAGAGTGTCAGAAAATCAGGACAGGTGTGTTCAATCAAGAGAATCAGTGAGAAGGAGCAGACTAGAGCGAGAAGGAGAGAAGAGAGGAAGGTGCAGCCGGGCAAACCTGACAAACTGTCCATAAATCCACAAGAAAATGATCAGAGATAAGGGAAAGATTTGTGACGATGTAACATTATTTGGTACCCCTCATTTGCATGTTTGGAACAGGCTTGATAGGTTGTAACTAATGGCTTTTATGATGGATAATTAAACATGTTCTAATCTTTATAAATCAGTTGTTCAGTATGTAGATTGTTTGACCAGCCAAACGGGTTATTTGCAGTCTGGCAATCCAAAGGCTCTTTGTCTAATGACTCATCCATAACAGATTAGCAAAGTATTTAATATTAATAAAGCCATTTATAAACCCTTTGTAAATGGTGCCTCATTAGAAAGTTGTACCTGCTTTTCTGTCTCGTTAATTATCTCATTACATTTCAGATTTATCTTGTGACCTCCTTGGGACTTCCTAACCCTTACAGTGGGATCAACAGCTTTAAGAAATGTTTTTAATCACTTAAGGCCTAGCATCACCTGATAGAGAAGTTAACTATAGAGGCAAAATTACATTCAGCTAAAATCGCTTTAGGTTCGGATGAATTCAGTCAGCGCTGTTTGTCATTACAATCAGTGTATCGTGGGCCCCTCAGTCTATCACAGTCTTTATTTTTTCTTCTCCTAAACTACAACAAATTGTTACATGTACAGTTTTTTTAAGCACCAATTCAAGCTGGAGCTATCGAGGGGAAATAGTGTATGTGTTGTTAAAACTTCTTTATGTCTCCTGCATCAAATTGAACTACACGACTTCTCTCTCGCTCCACACGTCCTTCAGAGTGATCAGCAGGGCACCAGGGCTGAAGCTGGTAGTCGAGACGCTCATCACGTCCCTCAAACCCATCGGCAACATTGTCCTCATCTGCTGCGCCTTCTTCATCATCTTTGGCATTCTTGGTGTTCAGGTAAGCACCTACATATTTGGATTTGTATGCTCGTCAGCTTACAGTGTTTTTGTATTTCTTTTTTATCCATCAGGGCATCTCGCACATCTTTAGCAATGTTTGAATGTCCTCTGAAAAGGTTTTCATTGGCGCTGAGCTGTTCATACTGTTGCAGATATAATATGATCTAACAGAGTGACCCCCGTGCTTACCATGGCCCTGATAAAGTCTATCTAGAACAAAAAAATAAATAAAACCAAGAAATGAAAGATTAAACATGTTTAAACAGTAATACTGTGGAGCATGTGAGATGATCCTGTGGAGCCATGTTGCACCCACAGTGAAATCACATTCTCACAGCACGGCTAAGAAGGCTAATTAGAGCACAATCCAACAGGAAGATGTCCAAAGTTAGCACATTACAATGCAACAGGTAGGGGATAATTTTCCTTTCAAAACCAAGAACAGGCTGAGTTTGGAAGAGCAAGTTTTGCTTTCCACTTTCCACTTGGTCTTGTTATTAATCCACAGCCTTATCAATCCTTTACAGGCAAAAAATGAACTGTTCATTTTGGAATTAACCTAAGAACAGAGACAGCAGAAGCTGTCAGAAGTTTCCATTAACCATCACACAACAAAGATTCTCAAAGCTGAGCATCAAAACAACAAAGTACTGTACATGCTCTGTCAATTAATGGAACATATTGTGTCCACAAAACGAAGCAAACCAATCAAAGTTAAATCTCCTCAATAAGTTTTCTTCACTGTGTTATCAGAAATGGCCCATTAATTTAAACCAAAGTGTCAGTCACTCTAAATGGACCCTTACCAGACAAAGCCCCACGTACGTCTGGCCTGGAGCAACTTGGGGTTTGCTGTCTTGTCCAGTGACACATCGACATGTGGACTGGGGAGCTGCAGCCACCCACAGTGCATCAGTATTGACAATATCCGCACACCAGTCTATATTTTATATTGTTTATCCTACTGAAAGACGAGTCCTTCAGTCCTGAAAATGGATTACTGACTTGATTTCCTGTTTTCATCTCATCAGTGTAGTCCTGCATTTTTCTTTTTCTTTTTTTCATCTAGTTATCAGTCCTGCCCAGTTCTTCCTCACATCATTTAGTGTTATTTGTCCACAGTTATTCATTGTTTTACTCGTCCCCTTCTTTCAATATGATAGATATTTAAAAACAGCTTTTCTCAGGAGGAAAACCAAACTGTTGAGATCAAGTACTTTTGGTCTCTTCAGTTAGGCTTCATCCACACACTCGTTACCGACGCTAATTATGAAATGACTTCAAAAGCTGCATGAAATTAAAGTGGCTTCAAAAAAGGGTTGTCTTGGCTTCGTCGGGATTCTTCTCTGTGTGCCTCCGTCTCTCATTTTCCTCTCTGTGTGTGCTTCTCCTGCAAGCTCTTCAAAGGCAAGTTCTACTACTGTGTGGGTTTGGACGTGAAGAACATCACTAACAAATCCGACTGCCTGGCTGCCAAGTATCGATGGATTCACCACAAATACAACTTTGACAACCTTGGACAGGTACAAGAGAGAGAAAAACTACATCACTGACATCCTGTCTGGATAGTTCTGAAATTCTGGACGTATACACACATATACATGTGTGCACATGCTCGTATAGCGATAATGACTGGCACAGGAATGCTTTTAAATCTTTCCTTACATTGTTTTACAGTGTTTTAGTTTTTAAAATTGTGTGTGTGTGTCCCCTCCAGGCTCTGATGTCCCTGTTTGTGCTGGCCTCCAAAGACGGCTGGGTCAACATCATGTACCATGGGCTTGATGCAGTGGGGATTGACCAGCAGGTGATAGCAAACAGACATACACAACGCCGGTACAAACCTGTGTACTTACACTCGTCTATAACACACAGTCACATGCTACATGTCACATGTGGGTCCAGTTTGCAGTGGCAGCAAACTAAGCAGAGTAGCCCAAATGCCTGCATCTCCAGCCACATCGACCGGCTCCTTCTAGGGAATCCTGTGCATTCTCAGACCAGAGCGGCCCCCTGCTAGTCGGCCCCATGAGGTCTCATTTGGATATACCCAGAGCTCCTCCACAGGGAGGCATCCTGCAGCTTCCTGATCAGTTCATCAAACCAGCTCAACTGGCTCCTGTAGAAGCATATAGAGCATTGGCTTCTACCTAATATCCACTTCTCTTGTTCTTCTTAATGTATAAGGCCAGTGATTCTCTGTATCTTGATTGCTGTCAAAAAATCTCGTGACCAAACCAACTGTGAATTTATGATAATCACAAGTGAGTCAAACTGTTACAGTGGGTAACATTGTGTACTTGTGATTGTGTGACCTTGTGATCTTATATTTTAGGTAAGTGTGGTTGAAGGTGAGGGTGGGAACTAACTGGCAAACTGGTAGCTTTGTCTTCAGGTGCCGTGACACCCTGTGCCGTCATAATATTTCCACAAACTGCAGTGTTCTCTCTGTAATGTTGACCCTTTGCAGATTACTGCAATTACCCATTTGTCAATATAATATTCCACTGTACCATCACAGCTTCACTTGGAGAGATTAACTCACTCACAAGCTGTAGAGCAGAGTTATAGGACAGAAATTCTCTAGAGAGGTTTAGAATTTAACCTCACGTTCACACACGTGACGTCAACGTTCGATGGCACGATGCAAATTAGTCTTCTGAAGTGGCTACAAAGTGAATAGATTCCCCTTGGAAGTGCTTTTGTTTGAAAATCTATTAAAGAATCTATTACGGAGGGGGCATTATTCTGGATGATTCAGTTTTCCCGCCTCAGGGAGAAACCTCAGCGCAGGCCAACATGGCATTGAATGACTAATCTCATTTGCACTGCACTCTGCGCTTTCAACACTCAGTGCTCCTCCTGATTGAAATTCTGACTCTCATCTCTGGTTTTATTGCATCTGAATTTGATTTTTGTTTTGTAATGACTCCCTCTAATAACTACCTCCTCACCAATCATCCTGATCTCATCATCACAATGTCTTTCTGTCCTGCCTTTTCTTCCACCCACCTGCCATCCGTTCTGACAGGTGGTGCCTTCGGGGCTTTGAAACTGTGGCGGATGTGAAGTGGCTTAGTTAATTGTTTATTAATATTTCAGACATTTCTCAAAAAATTAAGATGATCTGATGTCACTCACCGTTTCATCATATTTATTACAATGATAAACTACAACAAGAATGAACTGATGTTCCAGCCTAAATTATATTAGCCCCTTTTTGAGGATGATGCATGATCACATACTTTATATAGGTTTCTTTCAAATATATAGCTTGCACTAATCACATAAAGTGTTCCATCCAGTTATCATCTCCTCCTGCATAGTCTGTACAGCATCATGGCAACCTTCAGCCTATCTCAGATCACACGGAGCGAGAGTCTGAGCAGAGTTGTCAGCCTCAAGTTTTACCAGAATGCAATATCATCCAGTAAGGTGCTGCAGTAGCTGATTGCTTACAGACGAGCACACATTCCTGGTTGTAATTTTTATGTGAACAGCATATTTTTAATGATCCCATAACCACTGCCATTAAAGTGAAAAGAGCTGCCGCTGTGATAACTTGCTGGAGGTGTCCACTCTTGTCTGAGGGTGCAGTGTGCAGAGTTTCGGTGTCTGATACGCCTTCACACTCATGGATTGTGTTACTAGCTGGACTTCCTGGAAAGTATTTCACTACCTTACTGGAACTGATATGAAGTCTGTCATCAATATCAGAGATGGGTCAGGTCTTGTATAATACTGATGTTCAGGACGTCCCCAGGGTATATTCAGAGGTAACTTCTGAATATACTGTGCCTCAGTACAAGAACGTAACCCTGTTGATTCTTGGACAAAAGGTGACGGTAGCTCCCTGAGGATCATTTACAGTTTGCCCTCTCTGCCATCTGGATCTTCTACAATCATTCTCCTTTTTCTAAAATGTTCCTTCTTTCTCTTTCCAGTTATACACACAGTTTTCTCTCCACATCTTCTCCATCTTAAGGTTTTACTCTTTTCTATGATTACAGTTACCTTGATCTCTTCTGGGTGATTTTCTCTTTTTCTCCTCCGCCTCATAATCACTTTATCTTGCCTTTCATTCCTGAGTGACTCCTGTGGTCTCCACCTGTTTTCAGACACTCCTCATCTAATTTCTCTTCTTTCCACTTCCTCGTCCTCCCCTATAGCCGTTCACCAACAACAATCCATGGATGCTGCTCTACTTCATCTCTTTCCTCCTGATTGTCAGCTTCTTCGTCCTCAACATGTTTGTGGGCGTGGTGGTGGAGAATTTCCACAAGTGTCGGCAGCACCAGGAGGTGGAGGAGGCCCGGCGCCGTGAGGAGAAACGCCAGCGCCGGATGGAGAAGAAAAGAAGAAGTAAGAGAGTTGGGGGATAAGGAGAAAGAGAACAGATGGAGGAGAGTGGGGGAAGTAGGAATATATTTTGTATAACATAAGGAAGAAAAGAGATGGAGGGAGGAGTAGATGCTTTGAAGCACATGAAGGAGAGATGAGAGATACATAAATAAATGATGAAATGAAACAAGGAATGGGAACTTGGAGGAGGAGGTGAAAAGAAGGATAGAAAAAGTCAAGGGAAATAAGGATAGATGGGAGGAAAGATAACAGATACAGTATTAACTTCCTGTCAGGGGAAGAGGGGAGCAAGCACAGAGGAAAGAATAACTACTAGATAAATAGTGATATCTCAAGAGAGGAAAAAGGGAAGGAATGACTCAAGAGAGGTGAAGTGGAAAAGAATACAGGAATATTAAACAGATACAAGTACTATTAATAAAGATAAAGTACTCATTTGTTTAAATGTATATATTTGTTTAGCATTTTAGAATAAAATCCAAGTGAGCAAGTTGGTTAATGTTTAAAATAAATAAAATAATAATTTCTTTAAATTAAATAACTGATTCTGTCTGTTCCCTCTTGTCCTTCCTTTTACGGCTCCTGGATGTGCGTGTTTTCTCTCCTTTCTTCTTGATTCTGTGCTTTGTTTTTTCACTTCATTACATTTTGCTTCCTTTCCCAGTGAATCTAAACACCCAACATCCCTTTTTTAGTTGTTCACATTTTGTCTTCTCGCTGATCCAAATCCGTCCTTGCCTCATTAAATCCTCCTCTGTGTCTGTTTCTCTTTCCAGAGGCCCAGAAGCTGCCCTACTATGCATCCTACGGTCAGGTTCGCCTTGCTATCCACACTCTGTGTACCAGCCACTACCTGGATTTGGTCATCACTTTCATCATCTGCATCAATGTTATCACAATGTCACTGGAGCACTACAGCCAGCCACAGGTGAGCCCACTTCTGGTTTGAGATGGAGGGATAGGTAGGGTGTGTCGGAGTGAGACAGACACAGCAGACTCGTTTCTTGTTTCTGAGGAGGTGGTTGATGCGCCATCTGGACAGGGTTCTTTGAAAGTGGGCACCTCCAGAGGCAGGCTGCCAAAATGCTGCTCTGAATCAGCAGCAAAAACAACCAACACATTCATCCACATGCTAGAATATAAACACGCTGTCAGACTGGAGTGTTAGTAAACTGCTTCTCAGAGGCAGAGAGGGCCCTCGGTTTACATTAAACCCCAAATAACAGGATTCTAGTATGATGGAGGGAAGAAGTGAGAGTAAATCAAAGTAGAATAAACCTTTTTCACATTTGAGATGGATACTATCAAATAAATGAACGATAGTTATTAAGACTATGGGTTATTGAAGGATTCAAATAAAATTGTTCATGCCTTCTCCTGCTGCCCTTAGGACACAGATTAAGAATTATCTACATATAACTTATTCCAAGTTTCATTTTTATCTCTCATGGGGGAGGAAATTGAATTAGACACTTTAACATACTGAACATCAGTCAGGTGTAGCAAATTAAGCATGGGATGAGATTTTCTCTCATTCTTAAGATGTTAACAGCTTCCTCTCATATTTCTGAGCTGGAGCTGTCCTCATGCTCACCTTGTCTGGAGGCTCCTCTCTCACCGGTGAGCTGAAACTTTGCCGATATTAAATAACAGTTCTGTGAAGCTAGAAGATGTTAGCAGCTTATACGGCTGCACACAGACAAACCCACACAGGTCATTATTTTCAGTTAACTTTACCTTTTTTTAGCTGCTGTTTTGCACCAGTATTAACATTTCAGGTCAACAACAGTTTGAGCTGACAATGATGTCTAAAACTACCTCCCACATATGCAAGACTACACTCAAAGACCTGCTGCACAGGTTTTATGGCTACATAACAATAGACTGGAGAGTGAAGCAACAGGGAAAGAAAGCTAGTTACTGCAAATTGAACAGCTGTTCAAATCTGTGTTAGTTACTTGGCCTCTGGAAAAACTGTGGCTGTTGACTTTGCTCACTGAGGGTTTTTAGCCAGGAAGATAATAAAAGAAACAAATTCACTGTGTAAGTAGATCAGTAATCAGTAAGGTCTAGACCTTACTTTGTAAAGTGTCCTGAGATGACTTTTGTTGTGATTTGGCGCTATACAAATAAAATTTGATTTGATTAATCAGATAAAAACCCTTTTGATAGATTCAGTGTCAAACGTAAACATTAGGCTACATTTCATCATGTTAATCCTTAACATTACAAGCTTTTTTTTTATTTGTGTGGCTCTTTTCTATAATTAATACCAGTGTGGTTAAAAAAGAATTCAGCTTTCTTCATTTAAGAGTTTCATTGACAAAATACTTTTGTCATATTGACAAAAGAGATTCACTGAAGAACAACTTTCATCCTTATGTTCAATATTATTTTACTGCTGCAAAAAGAAAAACTGCATCAGCTACAGCAGTGTATTGCTCAGTATCTGGTAAAAACAAGAAACGTTTCTTGTTATAATAGTACTTTTCTCATTTTTATGAGATACTTTCACTTTAAAACTTGATATTTTTCATGTTATTACAACACTATTTTATTGTTATAACAACTTACTGTATTTTCTCATTACAGTGAGATATTGAACAATTTTTTTTTCTCATGGTGGCAATAACGCACTGCCGTGAACAGCGAATCAGTTTAGCACATTTAATGTGGAAAGAAGTGGATATGAACTGTGGTAGAGCAAAGTATGTTTCATGTGTTTATTACAGTTATGATCAGAGATGGAGGAAAAGAAATTAACTGACTGTAACTTTTGGTATCTTTTGTTTCTAACCTCCCTTCCTGTTTAACCCCTGTTTCTCTCAGTCTCTGGAGACTGCACTGAAGTACTGCAACTACTTCTTCACCTCCACCTTTGTGATCGAGGCGTCTCTGAAACTGGTGGCGTTTGGCTTTCGACGCTTCTTCAAAGACAGGTACAAGGGAAACACGCCATAGATTTTGATGAAGCATGTCGAGTCACCAATATCAGAATTGTTATTTACTCTCTCTGCACCAATAACAGGACAACACCTGCACATATAATATATAATTAGACAAATACTGCATTCTCAAATATCCTACAGGAGGAGTGTATGAATGTTTGTGTTATCGGTTCACCTGAGGAAGTGCCTGAATGTTATAATTGTGTTATCCACTCCTTAAATGTTAGCACCCGGTAATCTTTTAATGTAACATGAGAGATCCACAAGTGTCTCTGCCTCTGACACCTGCTCATTAGTGAGGGTAAGATGGAGTCTGGGGCTGGTGCAACCTTTAGGAGTGATGTGGACGTTGTACTGAAAGATTATTCTGAAAACAAAGTTCTTGATTTTGATCTGTGTTTCAATTATCAGCTATTGTATGGCCATGCACATTGTTTTTAGAAAAGTAACTGCTGCCTTGATTATGTTGACGTACTTTTTTGCAGTGAAGGTGGAGGTATGTTTGGCACTGCATGCAGTTGTAGGGAAGTGGTCAGGGTGGATGATGGGTGTACTAAGTGCAGGTCTCTGAAGACTGAGAACACGGTTTGCGTACTTGGTCCGTAAATCTTTGGTTACCTTTAGGAAAAAGTCACGGTTTCAGATCAACATTAAAAGGAAACAGGTCCTGTCTCACAATGCAAGTCACTTACTTCTGTTCACTGCTGTAATTATAACCATAAGCAAGCTGAATTACGTTTTAGTCAATATGAGCAGGCACTGTACGGCAAATGTGGCTAATGTAGGAAATCAAGCGAAATACTGAGCCATTTTTGCAGATTTGCTTGAGGTCAACATTTTGTGACTTGCCAGACGCATCATTTGTACATAGTTTTGTATAATCATAATATCTAGACAGAATTGATTCCTTAAATAAATGGATACCGGAGTGCATTTTTTCATGAAAGCTTTTGGATCTCTGATAAAACCAGAAATAGTCTGGGGCGCCCTGATATCCCAACGGTTTACGGTGAGGTGCACTGTACACCATGCACAGCGTGTGTGTAGTTTTGGCAGTTTCGACCTCAGGTCTCAGCATCTGTTTTCCCCATTTCCTGCCCACTTTAATATCTAAATAGAGGCAAAAATGGCCAAAATATTTAATAAAAACTATGATCAACAATAGTCAGGATATGACCAAAGTAAAGATTACACCGGCATTTTGACACGTATACTGTATGATGTTCTCTCTGCTGTTCCTCACTAGTGATGATGTTACTCTCAGAATCACATGCTGTAAAAATAACTCCTATAAGAGCTGGTTTTACTGTGTATTACACTGAATGAATGACTCATTGAGGCGGTGCAGGTGCAGAAACTTTTGAATTTTAATAGATTTCATTATCTACAGCCAGCACCTTAACAATCCAGCTAGGGGGTCCTCTCTCAGCCATGTGTGGAGCAGCTGTGATGGTGTTGGTGAATATAATTTGAAATGCCCTACTGTGTAGATTTTATTACGCCAGCTTCTGATCCATTTTAGCATTGTGGGTGTGCTGGGGTAAATTGCTGTTGGTTGTTTCTGCCACCCCTTCTTTGCAAAATTGTTTCTTCTGAGCTATTTTAGTGCTTTGTCTGCCTTTGTCTCTCTGTCTTGTTTTTTTTTTTGCCTCCTTCTTCTTATGTAAACAGAAACACTTTAAGTCATATTATTATTCCTATTATATATTATTCATTCTGTCCTTCATTTTTATTCATCTCTCTGTTTCCCAGTCTTTTCCTACCTTCCCACTTTTTGGAAAGCTTTGGCTTTATGAGGCAACCCCATTTTGAATGTCTTTACACCCAGTGAGCCTGGTGTGTGCCAGTTCTGCTCCTCTGGGACTCAGATATTATCAAGTAGAAGACATTAAACTGTGGAGGAACATACCCCAGGAAACAGTTGTGCAGTAAATGTAGTTAAAAATTAAAGAAACTTTACAAGAGTAAAACAGAAACATGGGGATTGTGTATGTGAGGAAGTGTCCTCCCTACTAAACTGCAGTTTAGATGTATGATTTGACTTAATTTTGACAACTGGGCCATCATTTTTTATTTCCACTCTCTCATAGTGCAGCTCTGGGTCCAGTGAAACCAGACTCAGACTACTTTAAAAAGTTGCATTTGGACAATTCTCAACTTAGAATTTAAAGATGACAGTGACTCAGCAGATAGAGCGGGTTTTCCACTAATCTCCACTGATCCTGAGCTGCTTCTGTCCACAATGTCGACGTGTTCTTGAGCCTGACACTGAACCCCGCTCGCCACTAATGGTTGAGCCAGTGCCTTGTACGTTATCCCCCCGCCATTGGCGTATGTATGAAAGGATAAATGAGGGAGAACGTTGCCTTTTTACTAACTCTTTTATATTTAAACTAGCTAATAAGGTACACAATGTAAACACACAACACCAAAAAGAAGCATAAACAAAGCAACAGCAAATAATGTCTTAAAATGAGAAGTACAAAAGGAGAAGTACAAAATCTCTGAGAAGGTGATTAGTAATTATTGGCATGGAAATTGAAAGCTGTTGTACAGTACTGTGTGTTCTGTAAAGACAAAATACTGGCTAAAATTAACCTGACGCTGTATCAGATGTGTCAAAGTGAATGGTTTCGTCTCAGACAACCACAGCCCACAGAGGAACAATAACTAGATGACACTCTTCTGATGTGAAAAGAGAACATTTTTATATTAAAAATCAGATCAAGTGAGAAAAATATGAAAGAATCATATTCTTTTTCAGCTGTAGGACCAATAGTCACTTTTCACCTTTTAGATTTGTAAATGTAAAGATGCTTAAATATCTTATTAGCCAAGGTTTTGCTGTGACCAAAGACAGACCTCTGAAACAAATTTGTTACTCTCCACTATGTTGACAAATGTTCTGACATTTACTGTATGTTGACTAGATCATTCAAATTAACTGCTGCCGTGCACATCTGACACATGCTAAGCTGAACACGTGTACTCCTGCTGACATCTTTTGGCGTGATTAGTAAATCAGCCTCTTGACCTTTACACACCCACACTCTCTGAAAGCTTGAATTTTAAGAAGCAACAGTCAAGCAGAGGTAATATTTTGGTGCTCCTGGAAGATGTCTATGGATCACATCACATATCAGCATCAGACCGGTTCACGAACATGCAGCTTGTTGTCCAGCTCTGTCTGACAGGAGTCACGATAACAAACAGGAAGTATTGTTGATGAAGCTCTAAGCTTTCCACAGCACTGAAAGCGTTCTTCTAGTATTAACATAAATATTCATGAGAGGAGCAGGCCTTCAGGTAAGGGTGGGCTGTTACCTTTGCTTATGCCAAGTCAGCTGTGGGAGAATCATGCAAATTATACGTAAAGTTGATGTAGAACATTAATATTCATAGAAAATGTAACATAGACCCTGATGTGAGCAGACATGAAGTCCTTCAAATTGATACTCATTCTCCTGTTTATGACTAACCTGTATTCTGGCCACATTCTACAGATTATGGTAGATTGAAAAGTCATTGTGTGTGTGTGTGTGTGTGTGTGTGTGTGTGTGTGTGTGTGTGTGTGTGTGTGTGTGTGTGTGTGTGTAGGTGGAACCAGTTGGACCTAGCCATTGTGCTTCTGTCAGTGATGGGCATCACCCTGGAGGAGATTGAGATCAACGCCTCACTTCCCATCAACCCCACCATCATCCGAATCATGAGGGTGCTCAGGATAGCACGAGGTACACACTCACACACACACACACACACACAAAAGCTAATTTTAAATCCCCTATCACATAATATTTCTGTCAAATAAGCATTTTCAGACCAAGATTGCACACAGTGTAACTCTTACAACCTCGGCTTCAGCTGGATCTTTCCTGAAACAGGTTTATATTGGAGACCTACATTTTCCATGATTTGACCTGCTTGAAAACTATATTTTTTTATATCTTAATAAGATACTACCTCCATGTTTTCCTCCTGTTAATACAAGTGTATCATTCTTTAATGCTTACCAGTTGTCAGGATAAATTAAAAGTAATGTAATTTCCACAGCACTAATTTCACAGGTTTACAACATGTTAAATAAAAATAGTTTTCTGCTTGTGGTTCGCAGTTTTTTTCCACTCACTGTCAGTGAAACTCCACACTGATAATTCAGATTAAAAGCCTGGCAGACGTTCAGGCTTGATCTTACCCATTTGTGTAAGCTTTTACTGTGAAGCATCTGCAGGAAGTGTTGTCTTTCACAGACTTCTGACGAACAGTGAACATTAAAAATGGCAAAGTAAAAGCAATTAAAATTCATTAGTGGGAACATCACTGTTACAACGATGGAATTACCACTGTAAAAATGTGCATTAGGTCATGTGCACTGGTGTATCACAATTAATGTCCTGGATTTATTAGGCCATTATTTGAAAGCAGCTTTTATTTGAGAACTTACAGAAAATTAATTGCTGAAGGAATGTTAAAGTGAGGTGAAAAATATTTTTTCTTTTCCTTTTGTCTTTTGAAACATTAAGGAACAAACACAGTTTTGCTAAAGAAAAATGTTTTTAATTATTTATTTTTAGTCAAGACCACCCATTCTCTACAGCATTTATATTCGTGTAATATATACTATACAGTACATTTGCATGATATACAGTCCAGTTGTTAGCTTAGTTTTACCTGAATAAAGGTAAAGCTAATTTTCATTCTTTCACCTTTTACTGTGTGTCACTGGGCACCTGTGTTCTTACTGCTCAGAGGAAATGGCTCTCTGGACCTCGTAGTTCCTCTTAACTTCACTCTGAGGACAATAAAGGCTAATTACACCAGTCTCACTTAATCCTTGCCCCCGTACCTTCACCCTCTGCCTTCCATAATACTGCCCAGGGACCGCTGAATAGACTCATGGGTATTATACTAATTAAACAGCAGCCGGTGGTAATTAACAAGCAAGTGGGGTATTTGATTATGAGTGTGAGAGTTACTGATGACTTTTAGCCTCTCCTTTATACCACTCTGTCTGAATGTTAACTACGTTGTACAACTATGAGGAAGAATATTAAGATGTTTCACAATCATCTACTTCTTTCACGTAGCTGAAGACTCAAACCACTTTGAACATAAGAAGAAATTCAGGGACCCTTGTGGAATATTTAAGTAAAAAGTTGCAGCAGTTAGGTGTATATTCATGTTGCTAGTTTATGTTGTTATGGCCTTCCCTGGTATGCTAGTGGTTAAGGCGCAGCGCTTTCACCTGTGACGATTCGCTGTGGGTACCCTTAAAATGGGAAAAAGGCAAAAGTGACATTCATTCAGTTTATGTTGTTATACATACATTAAAGGATGCAATATGAATTTCATCTATAGTGTAGTGTAGCTACATTCATGGTAGTAACCTAATGTTACTTCCAAAGACAAGGGGCAACTTTACTAACAAAATATCCAAACACATTCATTTAAGTAGGTAAGGTTTATTTATATAGCACCTTTCGCAGATAAAATCACAAAGTGCTTCACAAAGACAACAATGAAAATCGGAAAGCAGGCAAACAACAATATATCAACGAATAATATGTAAAACAATGATAAAAACACATTAAAACCTAGTAGATGTGATATTTGGAAACACCGAATCTTAATGTCATCACTTTAAGAGGCAATTCATGCCGTGCACGTCCCCATATCCGCTAAGGTCAAGTGACGTCATTTTCATCAGGTCCGCACAGCAAATGTCACAACTGCGCATGTGCCACAGTGCCTGAAACCATCGGCTTAGTATGAATAGGAACACATGTCCACCCCTCATCCATGTCCACGTGCACACGAGGGTTTGCGCAAAGCATGAATTCCCCTCAAGTACGGTAATATGATATTTTTCAACCGGACAATAATAAAGACTCATCTGGAGTTACATTCAATTGCTACCAGTGGAGCAGTAGACTAGAGTAATCTTCTGGGGCTTCCTGTTAAAAGCCTGGCTCCAGCATTCTGCACAATCTGGAGACGATTTACAGTTGACATATTGCAACCGATAAGAAGGGAATTACAGTAATCAACACGTGCAGAGATAAAAGCATGATTAATCATCTCCAGGTCAGCCTTTGATAACATTTGCCTTAGTTTAAAAATATTTCTCAGGTGATAAAAACAATTTTTTTTACCACCTTTCTTACTTGGCAATCAAGAGACATAGTCTGATCAAACACAACACCAAGGTTTCTGATGCTCGACTGGACAGAGGAACCCAGGGAACCAAGGCGTTGTCTGATTGACGGGATCTTATTATCAGGCGCAATAATCAGCACTTCAGTCTTATTGGGGTTTATGTGAAGATAATTACTGTTAAACCAGCTCTTGATGGTTGACAAGCATTCTAACAATGAAGCTAAAAAATAAAACTCAGAGTCATTAAAAGAGCAAAAAGTTTGAACATCATTGGCATATAGATGATAAGACACCCTCTTAAAATGCCGAATTATCTGATCAAGAAGATAGATATATGTAACAGAAATAAAAGTGGACCCAGGACTGATCCCTGTGGAACACCACATGACAAACCAGCCACATCTGACATGACATTATTTAAAGCAACATTAAAAGTTCGATCGCTAAGATACGAAGAGAACCACCGGAGGACAGATCCAGAGAACCCTAGTTCATGCTGAAGCCGACCAATCAAGATTCCATGATCAACCGTGTCAAAAGCAGATGTTAAATTTAACATAACCAGGACTGTGTAGCGACCGGAGTCTGCCGCCATCCTTATGTCACTTGATACTTTTAGCAAAGCGGTATCAGTGGAATGAATCTTCCGAAAACCTGACTGGAATTCATCCAATAGTTTATTCTGCTCCATAAAAATAATAAGCTGTTCTGCTACAGCTTTTTCCAAGACCTTAGCCATAAAAGGGAGTTTTGATATTGGCCTATAATTCTTTGGCTTAGATTGATCAAGACCCGTTTTTTTAAGAATTGGATTTACAGTCACGTGTTTCAAATAACCAGGGACAGATCCAGTCTCAAGTGAAAGATATACATTAAGTTCATTTAACTAATTAACAAGTCTGTGACAAATGTAAAGAAATGTTGCATCAAAGATTTAACCAAAACAGAACTGCCTGCTTCTAAGTGATGTTGTTGTCTAGGAGTTTGAAGAAAAAGGCCTAACAGCGCTGAGTAATGATGTAGAGCTGCTCCAACCACACACATCACCTCCCTCTCACATGCACATGCACTATCTACCATCCTGAGAGAAGCCTGTCTCCCTGGATGCTTTATCTGAGCAGCCCTTGCTGTTCCCCATCAGAATACAGCTGTGGTTTTTTTCTCTCTGCTACCGACCGCATCATCAGCCATGTTCATCCTGAAATTGGACCACTGGGGGCTGTGGATAGTCTCTAATGGAGAGTCAGGAAACCTATTCTGTCTGCTGATCGTTTCTTATCTCTCACCCTCTCTTCCTCTGCCTACCTCTTATCTGTCTTGATCATTCCCCTTTGTCTCTGTGGTATCTTTCTGTTCTTTATTTTACTTTCTCTCATTCTTCAGGTCTTGTCTATTGTTTATCACCCAAACACACAAGTCCAAAGTTGTACACAGAGACACACATAGATCTATAAGTTTGTGTGGAAGATACATGTCTCATGCTGTGATTTCTCTTCAGTGCTGAAGTTGTTGAAAATGGCAACTGGGATGAGAGCCCTTCTAGACACAGTGGTCCAGGCACTTCCTCAGGTATGTGGCATCTCTCTCTCACATACACACACACACACACTTATACCAACAGGCTTTCTCAGGACCCAGAGGATTTAATTAACATTTGAGAAATGATAAACGAGCAGCACTGATAGAAGCTCCCTGAGAATTATGACTTTCAGGAAGTCGGGTTATGACAAAATTTTGCCTCCACTGTTACAACAGTTTGCTAACTTTATACTCCTACTCTTGTTTAATCAGATAAAACAAAGACCTTTGTCATTAGTTTCTTCCCACAACCGTTAATGAGACGAGAGCAGCAGGAAAGTTCTGCTCCCTTGGTAACACAACAAGGCTTTTTCTTCTTTAACCTTTGCTCAGATTCATATATATTGAAGTCTTTGACTACCATTTTGAGAATTTTGAGAGCTGCTATAACAGCCAGAGAAAGGTTAATAACACGACAGTGAACTCAAGTAAATGTCGACAGATTTTACTAATTGTGTACACCATGGGAAAATGCTACAATGTCCTTTAGATCATAGTAGTTATGCTCGATGGTCCCCGCAGATGGAGTTTACTGTAATGCAAACCAAGCTGATTCTTTTGAAGTTGTCTTAACTGAGATCATAGGCTCGGTTGTGAAATGTTATACTGGAGCCTCTTGTCCTTAATTCACCTTAATTCTCCTTTTTCCTCTTCCAAACTCTGCCACTGTGTCTGAACAGTCACAGTTGCTGGGTTTCTTGCTGCTCTCTTGCCATCTAGGCTTCACTTTGTCTGCCTCTATCTGTTCAGTTATTAATTAGCTGTGTTTCCTGTGTCTCCAGCAGAAAGTGCTTAAAAACAGATTTGGCCATCAGCCGGTTAGCAGCAGAAATGTTTTTTTTTTTTTTTTTGTCAGATAAATTATCACATGGTGTTTTTTTGACTTCAACACCCTCAACACGGCTTCCAGCTTTAGCGGTTTTACCTCTTCCAAAAAAGCCTTCCTCTTAGTGTTACCTGATCTAGCTAGTGGTCATGTCTGTGTCAGTTAGTTAGAATAGTTTGCAAGTGTGTGAGTTTAAACATAACAAGATTATAAAGGTAAGCTAGTGAGTAGATGAGGCACTGTGACGACATGTAAAACCCCAGAAAACCTCTGTAGTCTCATTTAGCCACTTGTTAGCACCCTCCTCTCTAAGACACACAAAAGCATTAAAAATCACGAGTGGGGTATTTCCTGATGTACTTCATTTCATAGAACAAAACGTGAAAATGTATTGGGCTCGTTTTAACCACAGAATTTATTCCAGACATCTAACCAAGAACCCACTGAAACTGGAAGCGCAAAAGGTTTTAGGACTCACTACTATGGCACTATAATTCATTCATAATGGGATTTGGAATAATAATAAAATACAGAACTTCTCCACTAAAGTATTTATCTGTGCCAGTTTATTGTTTAGGTATGATATAGAGTGATGTGGTGTAATTATTTTTTGACGAACATTTTATTCATCCATGTTAGTAACTTTACTGTGACAGCACAACATCTGGAAATCGCTACAGCCAGTTGCAGCCTAAGTTAGATTAGATTAGATTAGATTCAACTTTATTGTCATTACCCATGTACAAGTACAAGGCAACGAAATGCAGTTTAGCATCTAACCAGAAATGCAATAACAGTCTACAGAATCCATAAATATACACACAAAGATCCAGCTTATGATCATTTGTCAAATAGTGTTTTCTTGTTTTCAAAAGATATAGAAAATCATATAAAAGTGCCAAATACTACTAAAGGTATAAATGTTTTATAGGATTAATTCCAGCTGTCTTTACTGCTAGCTCCTTATAAACCGGATGAAGGAGATTTTTTTATTTTATTTTATTTGCATGCAGAGATCAAATAAAAATTGGATTTTCAAAATGAGATTACGAGGTCACAAGACCAAAATGTGTAAAACGCTACCTCATTTCTTCTTACAGCCCCATCATAAAATGACATACCATTTTTCATCTTATGCGTCTTCTCTAGGGTGTAATATATCTCTTGCTGCATATAAAATAGAAGTAGCTGAAGCTCTGCCTCTCTCCACCTTTTACAAATATTATGAAGGTCTAATTTTTTTTTTATTTCTTTTGTAATGCAAGGCGACCAGAGAAAAATACGCTAATGGATATGGGCTGACTGCTCTTTTTAAAAAAGCTCTTTATTAAGTTAATTTGTAATGGAGTGAGTCTGTGCAGCCAGAAGTAGATTTTTGTTTTACTTCTGCTGCCTTATCAGTGTGCTGCCTGAACCCTCTGGGAGGATTTTGATCTCCTTGATGTTTGGGTAGGAAAACACATGCAGGCACACAGGTGTATGCAATAACACAAATAAAAACAGGCTCACACACTGAGGCGAAGCTACAGTCCCAGAAATCTCCAACACTTCTGTCACACCTCAGATGAATAGGTTCCTTTTCCATCCACTTGAACTCGTTTTCCTTGCAGTCCTGGCTTTCAATTGAACAGAGTTCATAAATAAAATAAATGTCAGTTCATAGAAGGCTGTAAATTACCAGCTGTGCTTTTAAAATAAACAGTACAATACCAGAGGAGGCAAAGAGGAGTCAATTTTTTTCCCCCAGTTTTATATTAATGTGAGTGAAAAAGTTGTTTTAGTTATATGAGAATCAAAGTATCACTTTGAGTAGTGTCAACCATATTACAGGATCACTTTTTCTCTTTTCAAAGAGATGTCATTTTAAATTTCCTTAATTTTCTTGCAATGTTATTCTTCACAGATGAGTAAAATGTGTCAGAGAAACATTTTGCCACATTATGAACCAAAACACCTACACAACTATACCATAAAGGGTGCTCCACAATGATGCAGATGACTGAGACATGGTTTCATTAGTCTAAACACAGAAAAACAGTGTGGGTTTGTTCACTACGTGTTCCAAAAGGTTTAAATATCAAAGTCCTTTCCGTTTCCTGCTAGCTTCGTTTGCCGGGTTGTTCCCATAGCATCCAGCAGTCTTCCATCGATCCCTCTGGTGTACTTTCACTCTCTGCTTGAGTGATCTACAGGTCTCAGATGGGCTTAAAACTTGCAAACTGCTTCAGGGCAAGTCTTAGCTTTTAATATCCACCAGGACACATCAACATGCACAGCTGGGGAGAGGAAGAAAGCTGTCTCTGTACTTCAGATTTCTCCCATTTCTTTTCCTCTCATTATTTATTCTCTTCCTTCTATGTCACCCTGTCCTCCAATTAAAACAACTCTCTAATCCACCCTCTCAGTTTACTTGTCTGGAACTCTACGGTTACATATTCAAAAGCACTTCATTGCTTTACCTGTGAGGTGACTTGGCTAACGGCGTTCTGCTTAGTGCCTAACCCAGGGGTACTTTACCAATTTGCATTGCATACCTCTGTCTGTGAAAGCTTGGCGTCTCTACATGGATGGATTCACACCTGTTAGCAAGTCACCAAGTTTTCCCCAAACTCTGTAGTACAGTGATTTAAATTGTCCACTTTTTACAGTTATTTCTGATCTGATGAAATGTTTACCTGATCCTTGATGTTCCTGTGTAGCTTTATGACTTTTAGGCTTTTCTGGTTGTAGTGTGAAACATCTGCAGTGACGGAGAAAATACTGGTTTATTCTGGGTGAAGCATGAAAAAGGGGAAACAGATGATTCAAAAAACTGCTAATTCTGTTGTTTGGAAGGTGTTTTTTTTTTTTGTATCAGGATGAACATTAACTAAGTCATTTAAAACTCAGTACTGCTGCAAAATGCTATACGTGATATTGGAAAAATGACTGGTCATGTCCTGTTAATTAAACCATCAACTGTGATTCTGTACTATTTAAATGACACTTAAAAGTTAAGCAGGGGAGTAGAATCAGTTCACCGGACCCACCACAACTAACAGTAAAAGTAATCCTGATTTCATTCAATAAAAACAAATATTTGATTTACGTCTGTTAATATAATATGATTGTTTGTGTGACAGGTGGGAAATCTCGGTCTTCTCTTCATGTTGCTGTTCTTCATCTATGCAGCTCTGGGTGTGGAGCTGTTTGGAGAACTAGGTACGTCTGTTCTGTCCCTAAAACATGATACAATATAATTCTTTATCATTTCTACTTTTTTTCCACTGACTCTCACAACACTATGGCCCCTTTTCCATCGCTTAGTACCAGCTCAACTCGACTTGACTCTGGTCGCCTTATTTGTTTTTCCATCAGTCATATCTTGGTGGTAGTACCCATTACCTGATACTATTTATGGTATCCCCTTTGTTGAGGTTCCAAGCAAGCTGAGGCGACGTGTGTAAACACTGCAGACTAGCCACTACTATGCAGTGATACTGCCATTGATGAACCCAGGTGCTAACACCAGTCGCTTGTTCTTCGTTCATTCATAATATTAGCTGCCACTTCTCTCTCACGAGTGTTACAGATGGTTGTGTTTATGGTGACAGAGGCTGCGAGCCACTGTTACTATATAATATAACCGTTACATTACGTGAGCCACCACATCGTACATCTTATCACGTAGCCCGTAGGTTACCGGATGTGATAATACAAGTACAATGGATACAGCTGTGCCTGCTAAGCAGAGCTAGCTAGCTGGCACGTTAGCAGGTCATTACATCTCCGAAAACATCTGAGCAAATTTGTAATTGGTATTAATTGGATAAATTGACCACATATTTGAAAATTAGATGGTTATTTTCTCACCTGAAAAACTTAATAAGACTTAATAAAATGGCATAATAACAGTCCTAGGATGATAATTATGGCTGCTTTGAGCAGGGCAGGCTCACAGCAGTTTCCTCAGTGCTGTGACAACCAGCTACATGGTGATGGGGACTGTCTGCAGTGGGAAAACAAAGCACCTGGTACTAAAACAGAGTAGAATGGAGTAAAGTCGAGTTCCTGGATTCCACCAGGAGATGGAAAAGGGTCTCATGTAAGTTATGACCAATGTGTCTGTTCAGCCACCATCAAGTCATTGGAAATCATTTCAAGTCATTTTGTGTTTGGTCAAATAAAGAAATTATTGCCTCTTAGCAGCACATTTTTTGAAAAGCAGTCTATATAGCTTTCTTTGGCCGGTCAGAATGAAAAACTAATCACTTGTTTCTTTCTGTCTGACTGATTTTTTTTTTGGCCTAGAATTTCTAGTAATTTGTAGAATTCAAGTGATGTGAAATTACAATCAACGGAAGAATTCTTGTGTAGCAAAAACTGGAGAAAATGATACATGGTCCATTATGCTTAGTCAAGGCTTTGTCTGGATTCCTCTGTGACACAGAAATCTTACACTTGAGTGATTGGCAAGGCCCCATAACATTGGTGAGTCTGTGTGACGTTTGGCACATGTGGTTCAATCAACCAGCCACTGATAAATCTGTGCTAATCTATGATGATACTGTGATACTTGATGTCTTTGTCCATTTTGACTCTGATAAAGACATTCCAAAATATGTTTCTGTTTGCACTTTGGAAGGTTCCAAATTAGTGTGCCCTAGTCCTTTGCTCCTCCTTTCTGTTAGCAGGACATCAATCAATCGATCATTTCTAATTACACAGTATGAGCAGACAGATACAATGAAGCACAACTCGAAAGTTTTGTGACTGAAGAAATCATCTTAAATTGTTATTGCTTCATAATTGAACACAAAAGTTTGGAATAACCAAGTCTGCACTCAATAAAGCAATAAAGCTGTCTTTACCCTCTCTTCTTTCTTCATCGTGTCACCTCTCAGTGTGTAACGCTGACTACCCCTGTGAAGGGATGAGCCGACATGCCACTTTTGAAAACTTTGGAATGGCCTTCCTCACACTCTTCCAGGTTTCAACTGGTGACAACTGGAATGGCATCATGAAGGTACTTCAGTTTTTAGGAGAATTCATTTTATGTATTCATACCACTCTTATCGCTTGACATTTGTCAGTTGGTCTGGGATATCTAATCAGCAGAGCTGATCGGTTTTCACATCATCTCATCTCCTACAGCTGAGACAGAACAAACGTATTAAAATTTTACATGAGAGTCAAACATAAAAAGGACTGTCTCTACGTGAGACTCTAGAGATTTATTTCAGATTATATTTTATCTTTTTTGAGCTGCCAAAACCTATTTTACACCACTCTCGCCACAGATGGAAGCTGAGAAGCGAAATTGCAGCTAAAGGTCTTTTCAAAAGGTCAATTCAAATCTCAGGACCAGACGATATTTATACGGGGGAAATGAGTAATGAGTGTGTCCTTCGGCGAGAAATAATGTCAAAAAAGTAAATGTGCACTCAACAAAACCTTTCCATGATGAATAAAGATTAAATTTTACACTCACAAAATCTGATTATTTGATCCGCCACTTCACTCTCATCTATCACCGCCGTCAACTCTCCAATCACACCCAAGTACCTGAGCTCTTAAAATTTTATCGCAGCCCATATCCGGCAGATGGGTATTCAGTGCTGATTAGACTCTTAAACAGTGACTTGCTGTGAATGAAAGCAAGACAGACAGCGTCATTCTACTAATCATGGCTTTTCACTGTCTGTAACAACTGGTAGATTAATCTGTTGATGTGCTGACTGACTGAATAATTTGACAAAAGTTGTGTAATTCAGTCATAATTTATGTATGTGAAGCAGAAATAACAAACATTTACTAGATTCAGTCTTTTGGTTTTGGACTGTTTGTCAGACAAAACAAGACATTTAAAGACTTTGGGCTCTGGGAGATTGCTGTGGGCAATTTTTCCTGACATTATATCGAGCAAACAAATTATTTATTTGGAAAAATAATCAACACATTAACTGATATTGAAAAATATTGTTTATTGCAACCAATTCTTCCGTTTTATTCAGCCACCCTTCCTCTTTCTGTATTGCCTTAATTTCTGTTTGACCCTGCTTTTCCTCTTCATCAGTAACTAAAATCTACCAATACTCCATCACCCACCAGGACACCCTAAGGGAGTGCCCACCAAGTCGCCCTGGCAGCGACTACAGCTGCCACGCTGGACTGCAGTTCATCTCCCCGTTGTATTTCGTGTCCTTTGTGCTCACCGCTCAGTTCGTTCTGATAAACGTGGTGGTGGCCGTGCTGATGAAGCATCTGGACGATTCCAATAAGGAAGCACAGGAGGACGCTGAGATGGATGCTGAGATTGAGCTGGAGCTGGCTCAGGGAGGCCTCTGCTGCATGATGGGAGGTATCGGTGCCATCGCCGGGGCCACGGGTGGCGCTGCGAGTATGGCGGGTGTGGGCGGTGGAGCGTCCAGTGCAATTACAGCAGGGACAGTTGGGGGTCCAGGTGGTGGAGTGATGATGCCACTCCGAGATGGAGGAGGAGGCGGAACAGCTCGTGAGGGACACACAAACCATCGATGTCGACTCTACTCCCCTGCTCAGGTAAGAGCATGTTCAGACTTTCACTGCTGCTGTTACTGCTGATACAGGCCTCAGCCCCCTTCGATGCTTTATAATGCAGATCAGGATTACTGCAGGCAGTCTATTGATGCATGTCAACAATATGCAAATTATAACTTATTGTACTCCCTTACAGGCTCCGGTTATTACAGGGGAAAATAATGAATGTAGTTTTATTGGTGCTTCATTGTTTTTATACCTGATGTTCACTTTTTTTGACCTGTTCAATGGAATTATATTCCTATCAGGCAGTGATCAGACATGTTTTGCCTTTCAAACTCATTTGAGAAACTGAGTTTGTTTAGGTTAAACTGGGCTAAATATGGGATAAAGTGACAGTGTATTATTAGTATTTAGATGTCAAGATTATTTAGAATCACACTGAAATGCTGTTAATACTGTGTGTAACTTAGATATCTTAAAACATCTTTTTTAACCAAATTTAGCCTGGATGTGTAAACAGCTTTTGGCCTGACTTAGATATCTTAAAACATCTTTTTTATCCAAATTTAGCCTGGATGTGTAAAAATAACTCGTATCCATCATGTGTCTGTGTTCATTTAAATGCATTGGTCTGTTAGTAAGCAACAATATTCAGGCTTTGAAAAGGTGCTAGTTTCCTTTTGAAGACTCAGTAACAATGACAACACTGCATCTGAGTCAAGTCAGTAAAATATGGAAGCAAAAGTCTTATTAAAACTGTAGTGGAACATGTGGTTACATGCCACTTCATGTCCAGTTCTCAGCAGCATCAGCTAATTGAGTGGGATCATAAGAGATGATGGGCTCTGAGACTGGTGATCTCCTAACTGCATGCTCCCTGCAGCATTACATCCTGTCTAGATTCAGAAAGCAGTGCCAAACAGATGGATCATCAGTCACTAACCATCACCATATAATTACCTCAGTGAAAGTCATAGCCTGAGATATGTTTTTGCTTTGTTCCTCATGTTTTGTCCCTGGATATTATGGAATATGGAGATTTTAAAAGCCAGAAAAATAAACTTAATACAAAATTGATATTATTTTTGCCATCAGCTATGTCTTTTATGTTTTTTTGCTGATTTCAAAAAGCGGAAAACTCCAAAGTTCTAAAATTATTCTTTTTAGACTTAGCTTAATAAAGTTTTTATTAATTAAATTTGCCCACAAACAGAGAGGAACATGTAGCCTCATTTAGCGGTTTAGGGGGTTGATCATGCAAACTCCCTGTGAAGATTCAGTTTTCATCAACAGAAGTTTAGGATAACGAGTCAAATATTTGCACATGCACGAGATGCAGTGCATAAACAGGCCATGGTCCTATTGTGATTAACAACACATGATTGGCATGTTTATCCTGGTTATTTCAAGAATTCATTAGCTTCCTCTACAGCAACAGTTGGTGCTGCACACCCAGCCAGGCTCTGTGTGTCTGCACAACATCTGGAGTTGTTTTTATTCATGAAATACAGCTGTCCTCTTTGTGCAAATTCAACATGTTGCTGGCTTTTAAACACATGGATATGGAAATGCTAAAACACACACACAACACTTGAACTTGTGCAGAAAAACCACAAGCACACACATGCAAAAGTAGCTGCAGTCGCCACCATTCTAAACAACAAACATGCGCAGGGGCAGTAGTAGTGGTGGTGGTGGGTTCTTCGACTCCCTGATTGCTGCATCTCAAACAGCAAGTCAGTGCAAGCTACACTCACATAAAATGATTGCACCTGCAAACAAGAACAGTTGCAGGGGCAGAAAGAAAGAAATGGGTAAATAAACAAACTGAGACAGAAACAAAGGAGAAGTGAGGACGAGAAGATGGGAAATCAGGAAGTGAGAGAGGGAAAACAGAGCAAATGTATATGGAAACTGAGACAGAGAGTGTGAGAGGAGAGCATTGGTTGGCATTTTGGGAAAGCCAGTGAGTGACTACTTGTGTCACCACCTAACTGAATGAATGATTGTGGGAATTGACTAAAGTTGTGTTTGCACCAAACAAGTTTAAGGTGCTGTGTTTACTCCACAACTTTAATATGCTTGGGTGGACAACAGCAGTGCCAGGTAAACTGCAGGATGGCTCATTGGAAATGACCCTATAAACACAAACATAGAGTAGAAGTAGGAGACAGGAGCACCAGCTGTGCTTCATACCTAGAAAGCCAAACCTACAAAAAGAAGTCTGGACTTTTGCTCCCATGAATTTGCTCATATGGTATTTATTATTTTTTTAATTTAATATTTATTTAACTAAGAACTCCCACTGAGATTTAAAAACTTGCCAAAATGAGTACCAAGATTTGCAATTACAGAGTTAAATATAACAAAATCCACATAATAACATTACAATGACATATGACAATAGGCAGTCACTACAATTTGTTTAAAATGCCTCATTAGTTCAAGAATTGCAGAGACGTGACAAATAAGACAGATGTCAAGGAGTTTACCATGGTCTTAAATGTGGTTAATGATACCAATTTGTCCAGTTTAACTTCAACAATTTGTTCCAAGTATTCGAAGCAGAGAAGGAGAAGGCCTTCTTTCCCAGCTCCGTCCTAGCATACAGAGCTGATATGTATTCTGTGATCTTAAGTTGTAGTTTGACAAAGAATTTTGAACTACAAACAAGATGCTGGGGTAACTTGCCAAGAATGGGTTTATCAATAAAAATGAACAAGTGAATTAGCAGGTGCATGGCAAGAGAAGACCATCCCACTCTAGGATCAGGGTACAATGGTGAATCTGTGGTTTTGAATTTATGATCAACCTTAAGGCACTATGATAAACAGCATCCAGTCTACAAAGATAATGTGACAGATCAGTATAATCAAGAACAGGCAGAAAGGTGGCGGCAACCGGCTTTTCTTCTGGCTTCCGAAGAAAAACAAGATTTTTGTCTAAAATAAAATCCCAACTTGAATCTTAATTTCTTCACCAGATGTTCAGCGTGTTGCTTCAAGGAAAGGCAGATGTCAAACCACCCACCAAGGTATTTGTAAGAGGAAATAACTTCAGTCATGTTCCCTACAACTGACACAAGGTCAACTAAATCAATACTGGGGTTTTTTTTCTATTTGAGAAAACCCTTAGTTTTATCAACATTCAGTATAAATTTTAATTTAGAAAGTTGGGATTGTAAAATATTTAATTCCAACTGGAGCTTGGTTAGTGCCTCAGATACATCCACCAAGTTAAAACTGCACATTAAAGATTTAAACAACATACTTTGTGGTTTTAACTTTCAGCTGTCAATACCAGCTGACCCAGGGTTCAATGGTTTTGGTCTAACTTTTTCCAGTCACTTGTAACCCCCAAATTATCTATAATCAATCCAGTCATACTACTTTTAGGATCCTTTTCAGAAACAAAGCTTCTGCTCTGTGTGAACCTAATTATCCTAGCTCATTTTTTGTCCTTTGGTTCATACTAAAGGAATTTAACTTTATCATCCAACCCTAAATATGACACTGAATGAGTGGGTGACAGAGGCGGGAGGAGAGAACAGAGTGAGGGGCTGGAATAGAATGGCTGGAAGACACAGTGAGATTGTGAGTGGGTGGCGGGCTCTGCCACAGTCTCATGGTCTACTGATATTTTTAACCAGAAGAGGAGTAAAAAAGACACGTAATAAAGAGGAAGAGCTGTTTTCGCCTGTCTTTCTATCGGCACTGTATTTTATATGCCTGTTCTTATTAGCCAACATATCACTTTGTTAGAATATAAGCAGTGTTTGGCCTGTTTTTCATGCATTCATATTGAGCTGTTAATTTTTACTCCAGAGAACACAGCCTGCAAAACTAGCACCATAATATGTGATGAGTAAAAGAAAGAGAAGAAAAAGGGTCATATAAAACTTTATATGAATGTGCTTAAATACACAAAAGTCTAGGAACCTCTTTGCAAATAACCCATTAGATTTTCAGAGATCACTTCGACTCCTTGTGGAGACAAGTCAGGCATTTTGGAAACTGCAGCTCATCAACGAAAGACCGTTTAAGAAACTATGTACTGTCAAAATCAGAATTTGTTCAAAAGGTGAAACCTATAGGCACAAAGAAAATGACTTTTATTAAGTTGTATACTATAATAACTGCCTTGTCATATGCATTTGCCTAGTGCTAAAGAGAAAAGCTGTTCTCCCAGCCTTGGTGGATGGGAGAAACCAGATGGCAGTGCAGTGAATCAAACAGGTTCATGAGCACCATTTACCACAGCCAAGGTCTCGAATCTGAGCCAAGCAGTCAAGCTGCCTCCCCCCTCATTGTGCATCTCCCAGCACTTGAAACATTCGGAACGTGTTTGCTCATACATCAGCGGGTGCTGCCAAGGTCTGGTTATTGACTGTGGGTTCCGTCTTTGCTTCACACCCTTTAGCAGTAACTCTCAGAAAGAAGTGGAAAGAGCAGTGACTAGAGGGAACAATCTGTGTAAACTGTTGGGATGGCAGCAGGAAAAAGTGAGCTGCTATGGAAAAATATAAGTCAGACTTAGGGAGAAAGTAACTACCTGAGACAAATAGGACTGAAAACAAAATCAAAACGAAGGGAAAATGGAGGCGAATCTGCAAGTGAAAGGTAGTTTTGTTTCACAGAAACAGAAAAAGAGATGGTGGTTACATTTAAAGGTGGTTATTCACCCTCAGCTATCACTGTATAGAGGCATATCACTAGGTGTTTGGTGGTGCTGATTAGTCTCACCAAGCTGTAGGGGTCCTCCACTTCTGTTGTGTGCCACCACCTTTATGCTTTTTGCTGCTGTGGAGGCAAAGTGAAATTCATTTAAGATATAAAAAAAATTACACACATCATGCAAATAAAAACTGTCTGAGACATGTACAGTATACTGTTGCAGTGGGGAGGGAGTGGCACTTGGCAGGGTCCCCCAGAATGCCCCTCTGGACGGACGGTATATAGTTTGGACCTGGCGGGACTTGTTCACAGTGTTCAGTGTGTAATGTGTGGCTGCTGTGGTGTTCCTGGGTGTGTGAGTAATAA